AAATGAAGAGATTTATAATTTACTCTATCTTAATTATTCCACATCACTTTTTTAAAATCTATACTACTGGGATATATGTTTTTTGAATTTGAACATTTGTTTATAGTGTCCCATCTGGCGTTTAAAGATCTAAAAAATTCAAACCCCCAGCATTAATTAATTTAGTGAATCCATAATGTCTAACAACTTTTTTTTGCATTTAGATCAGGAGTTTGCTTATATTTAAACCTCATGTACATACATGTATAATATTCTAATGAAGTAACATTAAATCTATCTATATTATTATTAATATGCCAATGAATTTTGGTCAAACCATTTAATTTGTTTATAACTTAATTTATTTTATGACACTCCAATTATTCTAATTTTCATGCTATTTACAGACTTATAGTTTTCCCTTTACCTATAATTTATTAGTTTCAAGTTGATATAAATATTCTAACTCAATACTATACACTACTTTTTTATATAAAATATTTATGAAGATTATTAGGTATATATTTTTATTTAATCATCATTTATAAAAATACTACCACTAATAATTTTAGATATTTCTATAGGCTTTCATTTAATGTGAGGTACAGGTAATTTATTATACCTGTGCGAATTTTTTATCATAAATTTCAAAATCTTAAATTTTAGTACTAATATATTTAGATACACTTCTATTTCTGAATACGCTATGGAGTTTGAAAATGCTGAAACGGTTTCATCGTCGAATTATGAGATAAACAAGATTAATGGAGAAAGCTGTCTGAATTTTTCACCAATTTTTGATGATTCACCAGATCCATCTGTAGTGGACAACATTTATGATGTGTATCCTCATCAACGGTGGTATGCTAATGCTAGTTTGCGTCTCATAAATAATCCGGATATAAAATTTGGATTTTTTTCATCGTTTTCTCGGCAATGCCAAGATTCACGGCGGTGTAGAAATTCTTTTTTTTATGATTCCTGTGCATGGGCTTTAATTGATATTGCTGATGAAAAATATTATGCCGATAGTTTATTAGACCACCGTTGCTTAGATGAAATGCGTCTTCGTATGAGTCATGAAACCGGAAAATCAAAAAACTGCTTGCACAAGGCACTATTTGAATCCATGAAAAAGGGAAAGCTTCCTAGACCTGATCGCTTGGCCAAATCACAGGCAAAGTATCAGATAAAACCATTCTTTCGTATTAGCCTTGATGACGAATGTATTCTCGAGATTACACAATCTGGTTGCAACCGCATTTATCATTTTATTCACGTTAATCCAGTTCGGAAAGTTTCAGTTGATTTATTTTTCGAAACTGAAGGTAAACCATTTCAACATAGCAAAAACGACATAGTTAACACATTTTCTTACTATTTTCCAATGATGCGTGTTAGTGGACGTATTACTGTATCTGGACATGTAAAGGATGTTGTTGGAGAAGGATGGTACAATCGCGAGTTTGATGCCTTGTTATCTGAAGCAAGCAGGGGTGCACTTAGCGCATGTAACTGGCTCTCACTGCATCTATCTAACGGATCTCAATTTAGCATCTTTAATGTTATGGACTTTGAGGCAACGAAAACAAAGAAGTGTTTTGGAGTTTACACTTCTAATGGGAAAGGGCATATATGCACAGATATTTCTCTCGAAATAGAAAATAAGTGGGTCAGTTTAGCAACCTTTATGACGTATCCTTCTCATTTTTCAGTAAACGTTCCTTCAATAGGATTGAATTTTAAACTCTTCCCCACGTTCAACGCACAAGAGTTTGCTACTGTGCTGATGACGGGAGGTGTTTTTTTTGAAGGCTGTGTGGTTGGAAAAGGAACAGTTAATGGAAGCAACATCATCTTAAGGGGTTTTTTAGAGCATAAAAACTATATTCCTTATTCCGAACCGAAGGATTTACTGAATATCGCCAGTAAATATATTCATGACACATTAAGTCAGCTATATCCCCTGAAGGCAACTGATGCGTGGTTGCAAGATAATGTGCTAGGGCACTACGCATTCCCAAATAAAATTCCTGCTGATAAGATATGCGAAACTTTATTTTTACCGGTTCGCTCTTTGATAGACAGAGGGGGTAAGTCATGGCGCAGCTTACTTCTTGCGTCTTGTTGCAATGCATTGTCTCAAGACTATTTTAACTGTTCATCCTTTTTAGCTATGACTGAGCTTCTTCATGTAGGGTCATTGATAATTGACGATATTCAGGACAATTCTCTTGTTCGCCGTGGTGGAAAGTGCATACACATTGAGTACGGTATACCCACAGCAATTAATGCTGGTACAGCTTGCTATTTCATGGCTTCATACGTTGCTGGTATTGATACGCTTGCTGAAAACAAGGCGAATAAAGTCTATAAGTTATACCTTGATCTCCTTCGAATCGGTCATTTAGGTCAAGGGCTTGACATTTACGGACTCAATTATTTAATGCCGCAGGCTGTGGCTTCTGGTGATGTGTGTCCGCTGCTAGAGGCACTTAGAACTATTTACACTTACAAAACTGGTGGCATTACCAGCACTTTGTGCTCAATTGCATGTGTTTTATGTAGTGCCGATCCCAAAGTATCCGATGCAATGAAAATTTTTGGGACTAATTTAGGCTTGGCTTTTCAAATCGTAGACGATGCTCGAAATTTAAAAGGGTCTAAGGGTGATTTAAAAGAAAATGAAGACATTCGTAACGGTAAAATTACGTATCCAGTCGTAAAGGCCGTGTCAAGACTTTCCGCATCCGATCGGGAGTTACTTTGGGATGTCATAAAATCAAAGCCATCCGATCCTAAGGTTGTAATGGTCGCTATAAAACTTATTGAAAAAGTTGGAGGTACTGATTTGTGTTTACAAGATGCCCAAGATTTGATTGCAAGTGCATGGTCCGTATTGGATCCTCTGTTAGATGAATCAATTTCTAAGAACATTATGTTTACATTTAGTAAGTTTCTACTCGATTTCACTTGTTAAAAGAAATTGCACAGACCTTTAAAATCTTCCTTTTATATCAAAATAACATGTTTCATTTTTGAACTTCGTATGGTTTTTTCAGCGTTTGGATGACACTTATGAGTAAACTTTAAGCTTTTTTTGAATAATCTTTTCTTACAATTAACCTTCTTAGTATTTTTTTGCACACTCTACTTTTTAATCTCTGAAGATAATTAATCAACAGTAAATAAATTCATCCCTGAGAAAATGTCTTCTAATAAAAAGTCTACCACAAAGGATTCCAATTCCAAGTGCTCCAATGAATCCAGGCTTGATTTTTGGGAGGAGTTCATGATCAGTGGCGTCGCTGCTGGAGTATCCAAGACAGTTGCGGCACCGATTGAACGTGTAAAGTTACTTGTGCAAAATCAGGGCGAGATGCTCAAGCAGGGAACACTTGACCGCCCATATAAGGGTGTAGGTGACTGCCTCTTCCATACTGTAAAGACAGAGGGTGTTTACTCTCTGTGGCGTGGCAACCTGTCAAATGTGATCCGTTACTTTCCGACTCAAGCGCTGAACTTTGCATTTAAGGATCAATTCAAACGCATGTTCAATTTTAAAAAGGAAAGAGATGGTTACGGGAAATGGTTTGTAGGCAATATGGCCTCCGGTGGACTCGCCGGTGCAACGTCACTTTGTTTCGTATATTCCTTGGACTATGTACGAACACGTTTGGCGAACGACACAAAGTCCTCCAAAAAGGGTGGTGAGCGTCAGTATAACGGCATGATCGATTGCTACGTGAAGACATTTAAGAGCGACGGTTTGATTGGACTGTACCGCGGCTTCATGGTGTCTTGCGTGGGCATCGTTGTTTATCGAGGTTTCTACTTTGGTCTGTATGACACACTACAGCCATTACTTCCAGTAAATAATTTCATGCTTAACTTCATTCTTGGGTGGGTAGTGACAGTCGTAGCTGGCCTTTTATCATATCCTCTGGACACGGTGCGACGTCGTATGATGATGACATCAGGGACTGGAAAAAATTACAAAAGCTCTTTTGAATGTATGATCCAGATCATAAAGAACGAGGGTGCTATCTCGTTGATGCGTGGCGCAGGAGCAAATATTATACGTGCCGTTGCTGGCGCACTTGTGTTATCCAGTGTGGACGCAATCAAGCCATATTACATTAAAGCACGTGGTCAGATGTCTATCAAGAATGGTCAGTAGATTTTTTAATAGTATATTACATACAGGCTTTTTATTATTATTATAATGGGTACGGTAGTATTTAGATATGTATCCATAAATAATATAAGTGACTAGTAGATTATACCATTTTTTTTGTTATTTTGGTTAGTATATTGATATTGAGACTGAAGATTTATTTTCCCCTGTTAAGAGTACAAGGTGAATTTCCTACCCTATGAATTGGTACTACTTCTTTTGACAGTTGTCAGTACTTTTTTTTCATTTTGTATCCTTTTCATCTTATTCTTGACTAGTTAATAAGTAATAATTAAATAAGTATATACACATGTATATATATAGTTTTTGAAATAGTGTAATAAGTTTAGGGGCGAAATATTATTTAATTGTGTATTTTATGTTTCTTTATAAAAAATTCTCGAACATACATTTCAAGCAAGCGGTAAGTTAGACAAATAATGTTGAGTTGAAACTAATGTCCTAGAATCTCAATTTCATGGACATAAATGTTTAGCCTTATACAAATGGCTTTCATTTTTAAAATTAGTAATATATATTCCTAAATTTCATTATTACAATGAACTTAATCATGTTTTTTTATGTTTAGTTATAAGGTACATGATCTTTTCCCAACAATGCAGCTTTCCCAGGTTTACCTTGTTCCGTCTTTTTTTTACTGATATCTTTTATTTTTGATACTGATGAACATTTAATCTAAAGTGCTCTTTTTTTCATATTAATAATAGTCGTTATTTATCCCTTATTTGAATTCATTTTCTCATAATGCGTAAGGGTGGAGTGCCCTCTGGACAGGACTGGGAGCCACAGGTTTTTAACTTTGCAAAAAAAAACGCTTCTCAAAATCGTGCACCACGCGTTGTTTCTGCGAAGGAAGCAAATCGTGCAATCCAAAGTGGACAGACTGTCGATATCCAACGCAAAGAGCACCAACGCGCTAATCAGCAGTCTAGCACTGCTGGGGCAAACGCAAAAAAGCTTGACGAGGACAATGAAACCCTTAAAATTAAGAGGGTAAATCATCAGCTCCGGATACAAATTATGCAAGAACGACAAGCTCTAAAATGGTCTCAACAGGATCTTGCGCAGAGAATATCAGAGCACGTGAGCGTAGTGAGTGAATATGAGAACGGCAAAGCTGTTCCTGAAGAGCGTGTCATTGTAAAGATGGAAAAAGCTTTTAGGGTTCATTTGCGTGGAGCGAAGGTAGGTGAGACGTTGGGAAAGAATCGTCCTGCTCCGAAGCCAACAGAATAATTACGATTTTTTAATCATTTCTATTATCAGTGTTTTAATTTATATGAAGAAATTTTTTGAAGAAGTAATGGTCTAATGAGGTTGGTCTAAATAAGTTCAACTAATTTATTTGTTCCCAGAAAGTGCAAAATTTTAACAAAAAAAATCCAGTCTGAAAATGTTTAAAGAAAAGAAATTCCCCTTGAGCAGCATTATATTCTATTCCTTTTTCTAATTAATGATTTATCACCATTTGTTGTATCTTATTAGTTTTTTTTCCTTTTAACTCTAGCGTTTTTCCTGTGCGCTAGTCCCATTTGAGCCTATTTTTAGGTTATCGTCAACTTCACGATCCCCCTCCAAATGAAGCGGTACATAGTTTTAGGTCAAGCCGGGGATGGATCTTTTGGCACTGTCAGCAAAGCAAAGCAACTTGAGACTGGCGAAATTGTCGCAGCAAAAAAAATGAAGCAACGTTTCCAAACCTGGGAGGAGTGTTTGCAGCTCCGTGAGGTCCAGGCACTCTGCAAGCTCAAACACCCTAATATAGTGAAATTAAAGGAAGTTGTACGAGAAAATATGGAGCTCTTTCTTATTTTTGAATACTGTGAAAGAAATATATTCCAAATACAGCGTCGGCGTATGGAGGAGATGAGTGGAGTACAGACATTTAACGATCGAGAGATTCGTAGTGTTATTTGTCAAACACTTTTGGGCATTCAAGCTTTTCACAAGGCCGGGTTTATGCACCGCGACATCAAGCCTGAGAATTTGTTAGTACAAGGGGATCAAATAAAGGTAGCAGATTTCGGCTTGGCCAAGGAAATCCGATCGCGTTCACCCTTTACTGAGTATGTGTCGACGCGATGGTACCGCGCCCCTGAAATCGTGTTGCATTCCTCTCATTACAATTCTCCCATTGACATCTGGGCTTGTGGTGTGACGTTTGCGGAGTTGTACCTTGGCCGGCCTCTCTTTCCCGGAACCTCCGAAAGTGATCAATTATTTAAGATATGCTCGGTTCTTGGATCTCCAACACAGACTGAGTGGGATGAGGGCTATCATCTAGCGCGACGTCTTAATATGCGTTTCCCAACAATTGCGCCAACCCCATTGCGACAAATTTTGAATTATGCTCCATCGTCTGCTGTGGACTTAATAGAAAAAATGCTCCGTTTTAATCCTAGTGATCGTTTGACTGCCACACAATGTCTACAACATCCCTTTTTCACCGGAAATGATAGCAACTCAGATTTGTTTTGTGGTGTTAGCACTGGGAAGGCACATAATCCATTTGAGTATGCTAATATGCTGACATCACCATCTAGTAAAACAAGTTTCAAGGAGAATTCAATCAGAAAACAAAGTGTCTGTACTACCTCTCCAACAAATCACCAACTATCGCATGGGCTAAAGTGTACGGGACTTTTTACTGAAGAAAATAGCACCTTGCTCGTATCCGGCTCATCTAATTTACCAGTAGATATCCCTCTAGTCACTAAGCCCAATGCTCCGAAGTCTCTTCCGAAAAGTTTGAATCACAAAAAGGATATTTCTGATAATGTTGATGATGAGTTTAATTTTTAGAGGCGCTTAACATATTATGGCACTGAATGACTCAGATACTTAAAGAATAACCCCCTAAACAGGCCCATATTTATCTTTAAAATGATGAATAGTGAGTTGAAAAAAAAAACATAGATTCATTAAAGTGGAGTTTTCATTAGGTTTACTTTTTTTCGTTGTCGTGTAAACACTGTGTAATGGATTGATCTATCTTATATTACATTCACAATGTTAATATTAATGATTTTTTTGAAATTGCATCCATTAACGCTACATATATACACTTAGCATTCCTTAAAACTTTTTATCAGATACAAAGGATAAAAATGTTATCTCATGTGATTGAATCCAATATCATTGCTTTACTTTTAATAATGCACGGTATAAGTGACAGTATATAATTCTCTGTATATTTTTATTTTGATATTTATAGTTATTTTACTTTTTCCTTTTTTTAAAGGAAGTCCTTTGATATTATGTGCACATAGATTTGATTAATCCATAATAGGGATAACTTGACAAAAAAGGCAGCACATAATCTATTATTTTGCATTTATTTTTAATTTCGTACTTATTTCTGATTACCACTTAAAAGTGAACAAAGGAATCCCCCTAATAAAATATTTATCAATAAAAAGTGTTAACATTTCACCGCAGTTTTCAACTTAGTTCCTTTTTTTTGTGTATCTTGATCATCGACATCGGATGATTTGCTCCACTGAATGAGTGTATTTTAGAATTTATTTGAGTTGATATTTGTATCGTGTCTGTAATAGAATATCTTTTTCAATAGAACATCACCTGTGTTCTGGTGGAATAGGTATGGGCTAACTTGACGATCAGTTCTGGGATAATGTTTTAACTTTACACTTTTTCCTTGAGGGAAAAGGAACGAAAAACAGCAACCAAAAGTCTTCATTTACGACCGGCCTTACTTTACTAGTTTGATATAGCTGCTTATGTTGTCGTGTTGATTTACCGAGGTTCCACTCGATACATAATATTTTCAAGAGTACGCGGGCATCAGCCATTCCTTCCTGTTAAATCTGAGGCAATGTTTTAGGTATCTTTATCAACAAATAAGGTGCCTGAGAGAATAGGAACGTTTCTCTGAAAGTACACGATATGTACTATATGCTATACATTCTCGTAGACAATTTCTACATTTGGTATATTTTAACCTCGCTAATTTGGTTCTATATCGTCAGCTGAGCTGAATAACAAGTCCATCTACATGTATATCATATCATTAATTGTACCTTTTACTCAACTAATTTCCATGGAGTTTGTTGTCATCTCATTATGATAGACTATTCTTTAAATCTTATATTTGTATTGAGCTGTTTAAAACGTGTGCGCTCCAGTTGTCGAAGCGTATGGTACTAATTCATCTCATATGTTTTTAAATGTGTGTATACAACAGATAACTGCGTGTGTGTGTGTGTGTGCAAGAAAACAGATTCTAGTGCGCGACTTATTAAGGAGTGCTAACCCTATCTTATATGATATAGTGGATGCATTTTTTTTCTAATAAATTCTAGTTGGTTGTTGCTTCTGTGACATGATTGCATTGATTTCGAGTGGGGAAAACCATACGTAGAAGGAATTGTACCTACCCATGCACAAAAAGGACAAGTTTTTTTATTGTGGCGCCACGCACTGTACAAGTGTTTTCTCCCATCATGAGAGATAGTTGCGTATGTGTGGATAGTAAAAATGGAAATAACACTTTTATAGTTTTACACTCTTTTCTCTGCAAATGAAAGTCTGCTAAATGATATGTTTATTTCCAGAAAAGGAGAATGGTGTAAATAGATGAAACACAGGAATTTACTATACATATAACTTTAATACATGCTAAAATTTTATTCATTCTCTTTCCCCTTTTAATATTTTTCAAAGCAACAAACACACTTATCCATAGTTTTTGATACCTTTTTTTTTCGTGCTACTGATTTATATCGAAAACTCTTATCATGTCAAAAAACCCCGAGGATAATTGGGAAGATGTTGAAGAGCAAGAAGAGGACACCTCTATAAACAACTCTGATGTAGTAGTACGCTACAAAAAGGCGGCGGCGTGGTGCAATGAAACCCTTCAAATTCTTATAGATGCGACCAAACCTGGTGTGAAGGTTTTTGAGCTTTGCAAGCTTGGTGACGAGACAATCGCCATGAAAGTTAAAACCATGTTTAAAGGTACGGAAAAGGGTGTTGCCTTTCCTACCTGTATTTCTGTAAACAACTGCGTGTGCCACAACAGCCCTGGGGCCTCAGATGAGGAAAACCCACAAGAAATTAAGCTTAACAACATCGTTCACTATGACTTAGGCATACATGTAGATGGTTACACTGCACAAGTTGCCCATACCATTCAGGTCACGGAAAACGGCGAGTTGGGCACTGACGAGAAGGCCACCAGGGTAATTACTTCCGCTTACAATATTTTAAACACGGCTCTTCGAAAGATGCGCCCCGGTGCGACTGTTTATGAAGTTACTCAAATTATTGAAAAGGCTGCCGAACATTATGGTGTGACTCCTGTGGATGGTGTGTTCTCGCATATGATAAAGAGGTACATTATTGATTCATATCGTTGCATTCCACAGAGGAAGGTTGCTGAGCACATGGTTCACGATTACGAATTTGAGAATGCACAGGTGTGGACACTAGATATTGTTATGTCCTCAGGTAAAGGCAAGCTTCGTGAACTCAACGCTAGGCCTTACATATACAAAACAGCTCTGGAGTCAAATTACACACTGAAGATGGAGAGTGCACGGGAGTTGGAGAAAGAGATTGAAAGCAAATTTATGACTTTTCCATTCGCCATTCGCAACTTAGAATCGAAGAAAACTCGACTAGGATTGAATGAAATGCTAAAACACAACGCTGTAGTACCGTATCCGGTGTTATATGAGCGCGAGGGTACAGTTGTTGGACACTTTAAGATTACATTAATGATAACCAACAAACGAATCGAGCCCATTACAGGCCTCAAGATGCAGAAGGGACCCGCTCTCGAGCCCTATGCTGACGAGCTGCTCCTAGCCACTAATAAGTTTCCTCTTTTGTTCAAAAAGAAAAAATCCACAGAATAAAATTTATTTAAATAAAATTAGCCAACTTATTTATTGTTTTGGTGTCCTCCCTTCATTTTTCGTGATTATGCTATATTACTTTGAACAAAAAATAAGTGTGTCTGTAAGGTGGTGATTAGACCATGGTGAGAGGGCTAGGCGTAAAGCTGCTCATTAAATCGCTTCACTTGGAGATTAGAGTCCCTTTTTCTCAAATAGAGGCTATTTGTTATTTTACATTTCAGAGTTGTGATATATTAATTTAAGAAAAATATATATAAATTGCATAATCTAACTTATAAATCTAAGATGAAATAAAAAATGAAGAGTATGAAAATCCATCTAAGTTCCGTTCTATGCGCATCTTCTACTTCTGTTGTTTTTACTGTTGGAGGCTTTTTATAATTTATATTTCCGTTGTATTTATTTATTTATTTAAAGCAAATAGCTAGCATAGACTTGTGCCAAGTGGGAAGTTCACATTAAATAAGATCAACTTTTAAAAGCTCTAATTGCAGACGTACACGCGTATACTATTAATTACCTACGTTATTGTTATGCCATCAGTGTCCGTCAACGAGCTCCTCAATGTCACCTTAGGAAAGAAACTAGGTGCTGGGACCTTTGGGTCGGTGCATGTAGGCGTTTTGCCAAGTGGGCGCTTTGTCGCGGTCAAAATCCTTGAGCTTTCCGATGACGCACCATCAAATACAGAGGTGGAGATTCACCGCAAGTTAGTTCACCCGAACATTATTCATTACTTGCATAGTCGGATAGACGCTGAAAGCACACCCAAGAAACTGTATGTTTACCTGGAGTTTGTTACTGGGGGTTCTGTTTCCGTGTTGATGAAAAGCCTGCCACAAGGATGCCTTCCGTATTCTGTAGTGCGTGTGTATGCACGACACATGTTTCTTGGACTAGAATATCTCCATAGAAACCAAGTCGCTCACCGTGATATCAAGGGCGATAACCTTCTCATTTCCATGGATACGGGTGTTGCTAAACTGGCGGATTTTGATCAGGCCAAGATCATGAGCACTCACGATACTTTGCGTATGGCTGCTACAGCGACACTGGCTGGGACACCGTATTGGATGGCCCCTGAAGTTATTACTGACGAGTCTGGGTACGACCCTTTCAAGGCAGATATTTGGTCGGCCGGATGCACAGTTGCCGAGATGATAACGGGGAGGGCACCGTGGTTGCCTATGTCAAATCTCATGCAGGTGATGAACAAGTTGGCTCTATCCATGGACTGGCCCGATGCAGTGCCCAAAGACCCTGAAAAATTGGGGTCTAAAGATGCGTACGATTTTTTAAATCGTTGCTTCTGTCGGAATGCTGCCACTCGACCAATGGCCAGTGAACTTCTGAAACACCCTTTCTTAAATGTATGAAGCATAAGAAAACCTACGGGACATGGTACTCTGTGTTTTACATGTTGGCTTTTAAATTTCATTTACGTTATCGCTTTTATACTGTTGATTCAGTCTCCTTTGATTATTCATTACAGTATTTTACTTTTTATTTTAATGTAGTATCTCTTTACCCTTTGTGATGAATATTGGATATTTATGTTTAGTGCATTTCATAGTTGATAGTACAACTCAGGCCTATCCATAAAATGGTTGATTTAGTGCCTGCAGATATATATTTACACATATATACATGTATATATATATATATATATATATGTATATGTATATATGGTCGTCTTGGTTCGATTTTTACTCATCAGCTGTGTTCTTTTCATTATTGGTGTTTTGGTTGAAGAAAAAATTACAATTTGAATCAGAATGAAGTGTAGTATAGCAAAGCAAAATACTACCATAATTATGTATATGATTGTCCATCTATTTACTTCTTATTTTTGATATGGGGAAGTTTTTATTCATTGTTATTGAAGCGTGAGCAACAAGAATAGCGATTTATCTATTTGCTATTCCTAGAAAAGTGTTCACCGAATTCAATTTAGAACTATTTTAGTTTTAGTATCCTATCAATTATATTGTGGGTTAATTATGGAAGATAAACCCTATTGCGCGGAGAATGGTAATTCCACCTCTGGTGTTGAAGGAAAGTACCTTATTCATGAAGAGGCGATAGTGGGTCGTGGTGCATGGAGTGTTGTCAAGCGATGTACTCCTATTCCTCCCTACACGCCACGTGGGTCATATCCTGGTATGAAGTTTGTTGTGAAGGTAATCGAAAAAGAATATTTGATTTCTTTGACCAAAGGCGATGTGGATCGAGCCATGGTAGAGGTGAAGCGTGAAATTAATGTCCTTAGACACATCCCACCGCATGAGAATGTGGTCACTTTTATCGAACACATAGAAACAGAAAAGCACTTTTTGCTTTTTTTTGAAGAAGTTTGCTGCGGCGATCTGTGTGAACTTATTCTTCAAACACCTGATGGAAAATTAACAGAGGGTAAGGCTAAGCTTTACATTTACCAGATCATCAAAGCAGTGATTCATTGTCACTTGCATGATGTTATCCATAGAGACATCAAACCTGAAAATCTTCTTGTAAGTGAAAAGGACGACATCAAACTCACGGATTTTGGTCTTGCTAAGTACTCAAAAGGAGTTTGTACGGGGGATGCCCCAAGTGATCCATTGGATTTGGTGTCCCTCATGATGCCTTACATTGGATGTGAGCGTTTTATTGGGAAGCGTGTCGTGTGTTCAGACGTCATAGGAACACCGCGTTACGGTGCACCCGAGATGTTTTATGCCAAATTTACGCAAACTCACTACGACGGTTTCAGCGCCGATACATGGTCGATTGGTGTTGTCGCATATATTATGTTGTCTGGAAGCTTTCCATACTCCGCCAGCTCCTCCGCATCAGAGGAAGAAGTCTTCCGCACAATCATGGACACTCCGCTTCCGAGCCCAACCAACATCAGTTCGTCCGCGTTAGATTTCATTCAGTGTCTTTTGAACAAGGATCCCACTAAACGTGTGCCACTTTATAAAACTCTTAACCATCCTTGGCTCATGGACATTGTGGTGCCGCGTGGTTCCATCGTTGCGAGCAAGTTGCGACAAAATTCCATCATCCCCAAGGTCGAGGAGGCATGCAAATGGTTTGATGAAGAAGCAATGAACCTTCATATTTGCATTTCAAAGCTTGAACATGAACTTCTGGTTCTTCGTTCGGAGTTTGATAAATCCAGAGAGGAGCACAAATTTAGGGAGGTACCGAAGACACCGCCACGACGTGCTCAGACTCCGATCGGAACGTCGCGGTTGCGTAATACGCGATCACCGGTATCATCATCGAAGGTTACTTCAGCGAGCAGGCCAGGGTCTCGGCTGCGAACTGTCAGTCGTGACGTCGGCACCACTTTAATCCAAAGTAAACCCTTGAACGCAACTTCTCGCACTCGAAGCCCTCTTGCGCGTAGTGCATGTGGGGCAGCTGTGAGACGTGGGACTCCCGCTCGAACGGGAGGAACAACCCCAGCTTCACTCCGCAGTGGCACCCCAACCCGCCCCACAACTAGATCGACTTCTACAATTCGGGGTTCGCACGCTAATCGTGCCATGACACCATCTGGGAAAGCACGCGAGTCTACGCTAAACCATACCCCACGAAAGCCTTCACAAACTCCACGTACACTTTCAGGAGGCATGAACAGCATGTCCTCGTCTACGATAGGTGCAACTCAAGCGTGCGACTTGCGCATTAATGACCATATTACCTACAAGGGCCACCGTGCTGTTGTGCGTTTCAATGGCCCAACTTCTTTTGGTGCAGGCATTTGGATCGGATTGGAAATGTTGGAGGGTAATGAAGGTACCAATGACGGGTCTTCTTTTATTGATAAAAAGGAGTACTTCAAATGTCCCAAGGGAAGGGGCGTTTTTGTACGTGCTTCGCAGGTAAAACGGTGTTAAAACTATTTTGCATTAGAGAGTTCTAGAATTGGTGCCATTATTTTTATTTTCTTTTTTCATTGGTAGATTTTTAATTTGATAGTTTTCTCCATTCTGTTAAGAACAAAGAGTAAAGTTTTAAGAAAAAACTAAAATATTATTTACAATTTTAGGTGGGGAGCTTAGTATCTAGTCTTTAAATGTTCTTAGCATAAACAGGTGAGCACATGAATGTCATCTAGCCATCTGTTCGGCGTGTAGCTTTTCTTTGAAGCTAGGCTTCGCTTCGTTTCGTTATGTTACTTTTTTTCATTTCGATGTCTGAAGTTAAGCTAACGACACAAGTTTGGGTATCAGATCTAGAGCCTTAAAAACAAAGGATTGTTTCACATGTGTTAGAGCTGAATGAATTATTCGAAAAATAAAGGTTAGAATAGATTAAGACTCTTTTTGTTTTATACGTTACATATCCCTTTTCTTTTCCTCCAATCTAACAACAACCTAATAGGGACTTTTTTTTTACCTTGGTGATTATAAAACTATTGTTTATTTAGTAAAAGGGATGGCACAAAGCATCGAGACATGGTTCTCATCAATGGGCCAGATCACAAGATTTTTACTAGGATATGTTCTTCTTAGCACTTCTGCGATAGCCTTTGGTGCCCTGAATCCTTCATATTTAGCTGTTTACTATCCGTCGTCGTCGAGCTACGCTGAGATATGGAGACCCTTCACATCAGCTTTATATTTTGGTCCATTTTCTTTTCCGTGGATAATGACGGTATTACTTTTCGTTACCTATGCTAACAACAATGAAACTCGAGGTTTCACAAACAAAACAGCAGACTTTGTGTACATGCTTCTCTTTATCATACTTGGATTGGGAGTAATTGGGGCTTTCATCAGTATCCCATGGACAGGCCACTCGTTCATCATGGCTCTATGTTGGATCCACTGCAAACGTAATGTGACAGACAGGATACTTTTTTTTGGATTCGAATGCCGCTCAGCATATTTTCCTTGGGTACTTGTGATATTTGAATTCTTTCTAGCGCAATCTCTTCTACCCAACTTCCTTGGGATACTTATGGGACATTTGTATTTATTCCTTAAGGATATTCTTCCATACACGCACGGTTATAACCTTCTTAACACGCCAGGTTGGTTTGTATTACTGATAGTTGGAGCTGGGCTAGGTACCACATCCTTTACCCCCAATTTTACACCACGACGAAGCTGGGGCCGTGGACACGTGCTTGGGTCGCAATAAAGATGAGGTTATGTTGGAAATTTTACACTTAGGTAAATTTTAATCTTCCATTCATTATTATTGTTGCAGAAGGAAAGGAGGCTGAGTAAGGGTCACATGAATATGATTGAAATTAAAATGTGTAGGCATCAAAAAAAGGGTAGTACCGGAGAGTTTAAATCCATATGAATTTTTCCTGCACCTATAACTTTTTATACGTGTCTGTGCGCAAGACGAAATGTATGACATTCTTAAGGTCGTGACGTATAGTTTTGTGTATTTTCACGAGATAAAGCTTTATGGTATAATTTTGTCTTTATATATTTTTACTTATTATTACTATCTTAAAATTTCCTTTAGATTAATGTATACTCCACTTTGCTGTTCCGATACACAAGTTCTCAGCTTTATTTTCTGTACATATTGACGTATTGCGTTCGTTTCGTAGAAAATATGCCACTTGATAATAAGGAAGCGTTATCACGCTCGACACAGAAAATTAATAAAGCAGTAGAGGATGTGAGGAATGCAGTTAACGAATTGGGAACCGATCGTGATGCAATTGCTCGCAGTAGAATCAAACGAGCTCGAGATGTAGTCCGCCAGTGCTCTGAACGAACGAATCCGTTTTTCAATAGTTTAGAACCGGAATTTCAAAACCTAAAAGAGCAATTCCAATTGGCTGAGTCAAGTTTTCGAACTGTTGATTTGGAAGCATTGCGCAAAGAGAAAATTATTTTTAAATATGATGAGCCTCCAGCTGCAGATGACTCAAACAATGATAGTGGTAGACCTTTGAAAACGCGTGACGGATGTAGCAAACCCCTTTACCTATCGGAATACCATATTGAAGAAGCAACTCAGCGAGAAAAGTTGCGGAATATTAGAGAAATCGAATCTGATGTGATGGACTTGAATACCACTTATCATGAATTTCACCTTTTATTATCTCAGCAGCAGGAGGGCCTTACCGCTGTATGCACTAATGTAGAGGAGTCTAGCAAACTCATTGCGGAGGGTCGCAGTCAACTGCAACGGTCGTTAAAGTATCAAAAGACTCGAAAAATTCATAGGGCACTAATAGCAATTTTTATTCTCATAGTAATTACTGTCAGCATAGCCGCCCTTTTTTTACATTGAAATTTTTTGGTAGTTTACCTTTTTTCTTCTTTCTTTTATTTAATTTGAAACAAGTTGTCCCCAAATTTGTTCATTTTTGCTAATAATATTGTGCTTCGCTTACATCATGATCGTTTTCAATACAGTATTCTGCTACAAAACATAAATATATTTATATATAAAGCAAGGACTGAAACATGGGAACATAAATAGTCTAGTTGGAGAAACACTCAGTTACTTTTTAAATTCCCCCCTTTACAGAGTCTTTGATTTCTCTTCATTTTTTTCTTTTAGACATCTCAGTTTACACCTATTATTGTTTCTTGTAAGGAGCTTAATGAACAGCAAATTCGACCCGCTGTTTCAAGAAAGGATCGTTTCACTTGACTCTTCGTCGATACCCCATGGAGAAAGCACAGCTATTGAGTCGGGCGCATGGGATGCCGCTCAAATGGCTAAATTATCAAATGGAACTTCTTCAGTGCCGCTGCCTGGAGCAACAGGTTCTTTAGATGTTCCCTCGGCGCCAGCCGACACACAATTGAAGTGGGATGACATTTGTGAGTCTGCAGGTTCCACAACGGATACCCAGAAACCATCACCGGCAGATTTTCAAGGTTCCCCCTACACCACTCGCCTCACCACACCACCTACAAACGATATAAAGAAGCAGAGTATCAACCCAGTCTTAAAGGCTTTACAGGAACAAATTGCCAAACGTACGATGTTGATTGATGCGGCAACGAAGGAGAAAATGACCAAGATCATTGCAGCCTCAAAGGAATACATAGAAGAGCAGAAGTCAAAGCGTGAGAGGCAGATTGCAGAAGCCAAGGAGTTACATAAAAAGACACAAGATGACGATGAGAAAAATAATGAGGATTTAAAGAAGAGTGATGCAGTGTGGACTGGAGTTGGGAAGGTTGTTGATCTTCAGAAACCGAACCCTTACTCCAAGAACACAGAGCGCATGCGATCTATTTTGTCAACACTTAACCAACCTGACAAGGTCATTTCAAAATAGAAAAGCGTAAATTTTTCGAAGGGGAACTTTTGTATCGGGCAATAATGGTTATGATTTTTTTTTCATTAGCTCATTTTTTTTTCCGTGCAGAGTGACGATGCGTGGTTCTGGATTGCGATACCTTAAATCATCTTTTACGTTTTTCATTTTTGATATGTAATTCTGTTTATATATTTATTCCTCACAAAGTAGAAGTTTGTGTTTTTCTTCCCCCCAAAACATAAATGGTTCTAATGTTATTGTTAAGCCAGATGAGATTGTATCGGAAAATGACAGTTAGAGAACAAAGCGGGGCCCCTCTGGAGTAATAATCGTCGGATGTTGTTTGAATGCGAAAATGGGCATATTTCTTGAAAAGCAGACTCGATCTGCAAGTTCTCATTATATTTTTTCTTATCGTTGGTTCTTGGCATTTTTTTAATTTATATTTCTGTATTTTATCTTCATTTTTCCAATACTTCTATCAGCATTGAGAGTAGGTAGGGTTTCCCCCAACATTAAGAAAAGTCATCATTCAAATGCGCGGTGGGCGAGGAGGTGGTGGACGTGGTTTTGGTGGTCATGGTGGTAGCCGAGGCCGTGGCGGAGGCCGTGGTGGGAGAGCTAGTGGCCCTAACAGAAGCAACGGCAAGCCCGTTATCAAGGGAAATATATTCCTTCCTCATGTCAGGTTTCAAGGCTGTTACTTGCTATCGGGGAAGGACACCCTTTCTACCCGGTCTCTCGTGCCTGGTGTGTCGATCTACGGTGAGAAGCGTATGAACGGGACGGTAGCGGGGGAGACGGAGTCTCACGAGTTCCGTGTGTGGAACCCCTACCGTTCTAAATTGGCTTCCGCTATTTACGCGGGTGTTGAGCACATTTATATGGAACCTAGTTCTACGGTGCTTTACCTCGGTGCCGCGAGCGGAACCACGGTTAGCCATGTTTCAGACCTGGTAGGCCCAGAGGGGTTAGTCTACGCGGTGGAATTTTCTCATCGCAGCGGACGTGACCTGGAGGAGATGACCAAGCGCCGTAATAACATCGTACCTATCCTTGAAGATGCTCGGTATCCACAAAAGTACCGAATGCTAATTCCTCATCTTGTGGACTGTATTTTTATGGACGTTGCGCAACCTGATCAGGCGCGCATCCTGGCTCTCAATGCGCAGCACTTTTTGAAAGAAAAAGGGGGATTTGTGATTTCGATAAAAGCAAACTGTATTGACTCTACCGCTGATCCTTCGACCGTTTTTGCATCTGAAGTTCAGAAGCTCAAGACCTTAGGTCTTCGTCCAAAGGAGCAGGTTTCCCTGGAGCCGTTTGAAAGAGACCATTGCGTTGTCAGCGGGATCTATAAAAACCCACCACAACATGCGGAATAAATATCTATGTTTCGTATAGTTTCTTAAATTGGGGTATTTAACTTGAAGTAATCGTAAACGTATCTTAAGCCATTTAAATCCTTTTTCATATAAATATTTATCACCTTTTCGGTTTCTTATATATATATATGCATATACAAATGTTGTATATATGTATGTATTGGAACAACTGCATATTTTATGTGTATACAATTATCTTTATAAGTTCATATGCTTTCTTTTCATTCTGGTCTACACACTGAGACAAGTACAGTGAATATATACATTACTATAGGCAAAAATATAAACGAAAATACCATTTCAATGAAACCACGAGCGGCGTTACTCCGCCAACAACAATCCCAGAACCGCCGTTCCAAACTAGAGGAGATTGCTACTATGGCGCAAATGGAGTCGATGCGAAATCCAAAGATTCAGCAGCAACGTTTTGCATATCCTAGTTCTATAGCTCAAAGACGTGACCCTAACCGTGGTATTATCACTCAAAATGAATGGAACGAACTGGTGGATCAGCATGAGAACTCAGGACGGGGATTTCGGTTTATTTTTCTAATTTTTGTAATCGCTTCTGTCATTTTATTAGTCTTATCAAAATATGATGCAGAGTTTAACGTAGAGGTACCACAGCTTGAGAGCGGTCGCGGTTTTGGTGAAGTCTTGAATCCGCTCAACACTGATGACTCCGAACCAGATTATTACCAGACACTCGGTGTTAAGGGGCGTTTATGGAGTAACTCAGAGTTAAATTCTGACGTTGTTGACAGCGATGCAGATAAACAACGGCGTCGGGAAAACTATCGTACACGCCAGGAGATCAAGAAGTCTTATCAGATACACAACGATAAGCAAGGACAGTTGGTATATTGTGGGCGATCTTGTCAGGCTAAAAACAAGCAAGTTCAAATAGCATACAATAAGCTGTCTTCTCAGGTTGACCGAGAGCTATTTGGAGTCCTCCTTGACGCTAAGGACACAAAATCTGCACGCACTGTTAGTCCAGAAACACTCAAAAAGAAATATGAGGAAAAGCGTGAATTTATTGAGAAAACGGAAACAGACGAAGAGGATCGTGCCATGGCACTGGAGGAACTCAAGGACGCCTACGAAATCATACAGGATCCTGATGCGCGAAAGTACTACCTTATCTATGGTGCTAAACCACCAGAACATATGCGGCACGTTAGTGCTCGGCATGGAGGATGGGGTCAGGAGATGGCGTTGGGGACCTTCAAGTACCGTATTATCATAATGTGGTTGGATTTCCTGAACCAGTACATCGGGATTTGGGGTGAAACCACAGTGCTCCTAGTTTTGTTGATTTTTCTACTGGGTCGTATACCACAAGTTTTAAAGCAAACTCATCACATTTTGGATGATATGGAATGGCACGAACCGCTAGGCGAAATGAGCGACGCAGAACCAAATAAGGATGAATCATGAAGTTTAGTGCATGCTGAAGGATATGGTTTCTTTGCCTTTTTAGTGGGATGCCCTTCCTGAAAATTGTATGCCTTGTTAATAACATCTATCTTATAGGATAATGGGCTTTAATCAAAGCATGTCTTTGTCATTGCTTGTGTATTTGTGCAAAAGGGATTTTCGATTCCTTGCTAATTTGCAATTGTTAACTAAAGAAGGTTCTTCCATTTCTGTGTGTAAGGATTCTTTATTACTATTATCCTCACAATTCATCAAATAAGCTGTAGCAAGGGGAATAACACAATACAACAAAAGAAGTAAAGCAAGAAAATATACACATAATATTAGCCCAATTCAACAATGGATAGGCTTGATCACTACACAATTTTGGGCATTTCGCGATCTGCAAACAAGGATATGATCCGCCAAGCGTACAAGGTGAAAGCGCTTGAGTTGCATCCTGACAAAAATCCGGGCGGTGAGGATATTTTCAAGCTAGTTTCGAATGCGTATCAGATATTAACTGACCCTTCCAAGCGATCGGCTTACGATAACGAGTTATTGCGCCGTGAGTATCGTTCTGGAACGTCAATGCGCCCGCCTTTTTGTAAACCGTCACGGTCTCCCGGCGCAGCGAGCAGCAGTTCACCTCATAATGCAGGATCCCCTCACAAGCCCCGCTTTCCTACCGAAGAGGAGCTATTCAAGGATATTTATGAGCAGTACAAAAAGAGTGCGTATACGGCTCGTGGAAATGCGCGTGGTTGTGGCTTCCGCACCTCTGGAATCTCGGAAGAGGGGTCATTTGCCGAGTGGTTTAAGAAAAAACAAGAGGAGCTTCGATGTGCGGAGGAGATTACTAAGGCTAAGGCAGAATACGCCAAGAACTTAGAGCGCGAGGAACAGAAGCGCGCGGAGGAATGGCGTGAGTTGCAGCGGCAACGCGAGAAAGAGCGAGAGGAGGAGCTGGCGAATGCTCGTGCGAAACGAGTTGCGGAAGAGGAAGCCTTACGCCGAGCCAAGGCGGATGAGCTCAACTCCCTGCGAGCAGCGGCCCATCAACAGAGAATGGAGGAATTTGCGAGGGTTCAGAAAGCACAGCAAGTGGAGATGGAGCGCCATTTGCGTGAACTTGCTGAGCAGAAACAGCAGCTTGAGGAAGAGCGTCGTAAAATGGCGGATGAGCGTGAGAGAGCTGCGCAAGTGGTTGAAAATCATCGCAGCAATCGGTTTGTTCTTCAAAAACAACGTGAGGAGGCGCTGTTGCGGGCTGTGCGCGAGGCGGATGAAAAGCTGCGAGAGGCTCGTGAGCAAAAAACTTATCACGAAGCGCAGCAAAAGCTTAAAGAACTAGAGCGGTTAAATGAAGAAAAATTGCGACGGGAAGAAGAAGAAAGGCAGCGGGAAGAGTACGCGAAAGAAGAAGCCATGCGCAAGAAGTTCGAAGAACAAGACGATTTAGCTCGTCGCCGTGCTTCGAACGATCTTAATGAGCAGCGTAAGCGTGTGATTGGTCTTATGATGGAGGAGAGGCGACACCAGATGGAAGATGTCGCCGCGATGCGTCGTGAAACGGATCGAATTGAAGCAGAGATGCGCGCTAAGTTGGATGCATTGCGGGAAGCGAAAAAAGCTGGTAAACCTATAAATTTAGATGAATGGAAGTTGTGATGTCTAGATAGAGAATGCAAGGCTACTTTATGGGTTTCATCCTCTAGAATCCTTGCTTACGGTTGTGTTAGTCGTACCAGGTTAAAGTTTTTTATTGATTTGTATCTTAACCACTAATGTAAATTTTCACCTTTTCATTCGTCATGAACCGGTTTATCCATTTTGTTTACATTTTTTTATTTTTTTGCTTGATATATTCACAAATGAGAGACTGTGTATGATAAATTAAGTGTTAATTTCCTTCATTGTTGTGTGCATTTTATCAATTTTGATGCTTTTATGCTTATGGGGAAATAAATGGGACGAATTTACATTCTTATGACTCCTCGAAATTTGGTAGTCTACATACATGTAGTAGATCGAAGGAAGTTTGAAAGAAGTATCCTTTCTTGTTCATTCATTCAATAAATTAATATAAACTATATTTGACGTAATGCTTGGGGGTATCGGCATGAGCAACATGTACGGTGGTGGACTTGGCATGAGCAACATGTACGGTGGTGGACTTGGCATGAACAACATGTACGGTAGTGGACTTGGCATGAATAACATGTACGGCAATGGACTTGGAATGGGCAACATGTACGGAGGGGGGATAGGGTTCTCAGGTGGGGTTGGATCTGGTATGATAGGCAATACGCTAACATCGAATATCAATGGTCATACGGGTGGTACGAACGATTTCAATAGCAACACCAATGGAAACCTCCTAAGTGGTAATTATCCACAACAACAACAACAGGGCTTGCTGCCTTCATCTTCGCAAGATCTACGGGTTGGATCTCCCATTACACTCGGAGAGCTTCCACCTCCTTTAAGCGAGACTCCAGAGGAACGCGCACAACGCATTCGCACCGAGCGCCACAGGGAGCGACAGCTTATTCAAAAGCAACGTCAGGAGCGAAAACAGTTGCGACTCCAAGCAAAAATGGAAATAGCCGGACACCTGACCAACGTTCTCGTGCAAACCTTGCGTTCTGCTATGGAACTTTTTGCGGTATGCTTTGGTACTTATTATAGTATGAAGGCTGTTCGTGCCTTTGCAAATTCCCAAGAGACAATTTCTTCCGTTCAGATGCGGCGGGGACCGATGGGAGAGTTGATTCCGGTGCCTGGATCGGCCACCAACGCTGCAGTTTCTGTGACTAATAAAGGCACTAATGCATCAGTTTCTGTTTTAGGGGGTCGGTGGAAATGGATCATGTTTGGCGTTTTATTTCTTTTGGGTGAGATCATTACTGCACTCATTTCACGTGCGCGCAACGCAACTTATTTATCTCTGACACGAAGGCTAGATGATGGTGTCATGGAGAGCGAATACGATGACGACGTGCACCTCAAAAAATGGGAGCTACCGTCATCAGAGACGGACGATTGTGAGAGTGTGGAATCTTTACAGATCGCTGAAGCAGAGGGTCAAGTGATGCCACAAGGTGTCGCACCGGGGGAGGGTCCACTGGATCTGTTTCCCTTATCCCGTAATCGACGCGTTTATGTTGCTGTGTACGACTATGAAGCGCAACGTGACCTCAAAGGATATCTGAGTTTTAAGGCTGGCGATGAGTTTGTGATTCAAGACTATGCAGAAGGAACTTGGTGCAAAGCAACCGCTTGCTCTACACACGGTACCGCATTAGGCCCTAGCGGGTTAGTTCCTAGTAACTTTCTGCGTCTTTTAGAGGCAGTGACAAAACTTTAGTTTTTTTTGTCGATTTAATAGGTACAATGTTTACATAAACTGGTTTTACTTGTACGGGGTTTTCAAACTATTGCTTTTTAAAATAATATTATGGCTTTAATCTATTGATACTGCCTTCTTTAGCGGATGGATTAAAAAAAAAAGAAAGGCTTTTCTTACAAGAACATTGTTTTTTTCTCCTCTTCCGAAGCTCCCTTTTTTTTGTTTGAAAGAACGATATTACCATCAAAAATGAGAATTGTTATTGGACTTATATATTCGTATTTGTATGCGCATATATAACGTTTTGGGACGAAAATATATTAATTTTAATTCATGTAAGTACACAAAGGGGATTATATATATATATATCTAAAATAAGAAAGTGCTGTCGCATTATAGATTTCTAAGTGAGAAATTATCCTCATTTATATGATCTTCTTCCCTTTAAGTGGGAAACAATATACTTATTAGTGCTTTTTTAAAAATTACATGTTAACGAGTTAAAGGCTATCGTATTTTCGGTCCTTAATTTTCCAATTTACTTTTTAAAAAAGCACAATTTTTAGAGGAGTCGATATATAAGTAATGGCTGATAATCAGCAGCAGACGCGTGCAGAAGGCGGCTCACCACCCCAAGG